GCCCACCCCCGCCGATCTATCTCCTCTTTTTCTATTCGATCTGTTTTCCGGCGAATTTTCACCGGTTTCGGGATTTTATATCTAGAGAACTATTTTGGTTGAGATATTGCTAAGATTTTGTGTTAATTTTGTGTTGTAGAGTTAGAAACTGAGTATGGAAATGGATTTGTTTCCCTGTAAATAAGCTATTTGAGAGCATAGTTTGGTTTTTTGGAGTCCAATGTCATAGCTAAGCATCTGTAGGTTCCATGTTCTATATGTTCACCAGAGAATGTAACTTTCCTGTTTGGGTAAATTGGTTTGTGCAACGGTAAGTCCTTCTAAACAGCCTTCACATGCTATTATTATGTGTGATGTGATCTCGGTCCGTTGATAGATTTGTTTTGAGTTTGGTTCGAATGTGATGTACTGGTTTTCAGAATACTTTTCTTTTGATTGAGTTCCAGTTGAAATTTCGCTTCTGAAACCTTTTCTGTTTGTGTGTGTGTGTCGATTTTCATTTGCAGATCGATGTAAGCTCCCATATTGTGAAGACCTTCTTAACTCTCAAGGTACCCCAGTTTTTAAAATTATATAGTACCGTATCCTGCATCAAAGATTTATATCAGTTTTAAGGGTATTTGTCGAGCAAACAATGTTTTGAGATGTTGGACTCTAGAATTAGCTGTTCAAAAAGATCAGAGATTGTGGTGTAGGCTTGGATATAGTTGTTGGAATTGTCAACATCCTTTTTCATTCTCTCTCTGTTCTTAAATCTGTCTATCTGAAAGTAACCGTTTTGTTGATGGGTTTGTTCTTTAGGTAGAAAATACTGGGAAAAACTCTGTTCCAAACATGCTTCTTGCTTTCCCACCTACCCAAATCACCCATTTAGCGACGGTCCAAGCGATGGCAACTGTGGGAAAGAAGAAGAAGAAACCGACCTACTTGCCACTCGATGTGAAGCCAACAGATCAGCCTGATGCACCGAGCGACACGGGCTATTTCAGTATTTTATTTGCTAAACCGTTAGGTCCAGGTGAAACTCTATCACTTGAAGTGCTCTATATATTGACTCATTCCTTGGAACCTTTCCCAGCTGAGATCAGCGAATCAGAACCTCAGTTGGTATACTATCATGATAGTGCGGTTATTTTATCGCCATATCATATCAAGCAACAAACAACATTTATTAAGATGCCTAGTGTTAAAGTGGAATCTTTCACAAGCGTGGAGCCTGCAAACCGAGCTGGTAAAGAGATAAAGTATGGACCATATGAGAATCGCCCTCCATACTCATATGCTCCAATTATCATTCACTTTGAGAATAGTAGTCCATTTGCTGTTGTTGAGGAGCTTGTGCGTGAAATTGAGATATCACATTGGGGTAGCCTTCAAATAACGGAGAGTTACAGGTTGGCTCATGGTGGAGCTCGGCATAAGGGAGTCTTCTCCAGGTTAGAAATTGCTTCTGCCTGTGTACCACTTGAACTCTTTAAGTTAATCTTCATTAAATTTACTGATGTACCAAGAATATTATTCTCTCCATTGCGAGACGATGCCAACTGAAAGGATTTTTCTGGACAAAATTTCAGTTGGCATTTTTTTATGGACAAAATTTATCTTCTTTAGAGCTCTCTGGAGACATCATTTATCCCCTTTTTCAGTTCAGTTGCATAAGAATTCTAGCCATAGACATGTTCTGGTGCTTCGAGTAAATTTTGTTCACACAAAAATAATAGACGAATCAGATTCAGGATAGTTCAAATGCAGTTTGGACAAACCAAATGTTCCGAAAATCTGATTTTCTTAGTTGAAAGTTTGGTCATGATTTTATATATTCATATGTACTTCATTCTGTTGAAATAGTTTTCTAAAATTTCAATTTTGGCAGGGTTGAATATCAGTCTAGACATTCTTTGAGTGGTGCGTCGTCTTTCAAAAATCTCCTGGCTGTACTGCCTCCCAGAGTTGATTCTGTCTACTACAGGGATGAAATAGGAAACATCTCGTCTTCACGTTTACGTACTGGCTTCCGAAAGGTAACTAACTTGGTTTGTTCTGATTTGTTAATTCTCTGGCAATTTTGTTGCGATATTTATTTCTTGAGAATATTTTCTAAAGTTCAAACTGTGTAAGGCGTCGTCATATCATTTGATAGTGATGCATCTGGACTCACCTTTTAAATATGATACGTTGGTGAAAGGTCTTGTGGTAGGTTGTGTTCTTCGAATCTTAGAATGCTTAAAGCAAATTTATGTTTTTGCAGTCAGAACTTGAAATTGAGCCACGATATCCATTACTTGGAGGATGGAGAGCAACTTTTGTCATCGGTTATAGAGTACCACTGGAGGATTTTCTCTTTGAATCACCTGACGGCAGGCGCTATTTGAACTTCACTTTTGGGTGCCCGCTAGTGGAAACTGTCGTAGACAAATTGACAGTCAAAGTATGCTTTTTTAGGATTATGCTTTCATTGTTAACTGTTACCGTCATTGGCAATTCTTTCTTGTCCAGCTCTTCTGTTATATATTGCGTTCACACAACTGGAAGATACTCTTTCCAGGTCGTGTTGCCTGAAGGATCACGAGACCCTTCCGCTGTTGTCCCCTTTCCAGTCGGCCAAGACCTTGAGGTAACTTACCTTGCCTCCCTAATTCACTACATTAGAGTTTCTGTATCTTTTCATATATATTTGTAACAAAGCCATGTGTACTGTTACCTCAGGTAAAATATTCTTACCTCGACGTCGTGGGAAGAACTGTGCTGGTTTTGAAAAAGAATAATACGGTTCCTACTCACAATGTTCCCTTTCAGGTAATTTTAAAAAAAGCCCTTTTGCGCTCTCTCTCTTTTATTGCGACGGGTATATTTCATCGATCCACCTCCTAAGCCAAGTTTTCTGTCTCGAAAACACTAAACAAAGGGTTACATATTATTGTCATGATTTCTTAGAGAGAAGACCGTATCCGAAACTTTTTGTTTAACGCTCATTTATTCTCCTCCATTTTTTTTGTTGGGGGCAGGTTTACTACACTTTCAAACCGATATTTATGCTTGCGGAGCCATTCATGCTGGTATCAGCTTTCTTCTTGTTCTTTGTGGCATCTCTTGCTTACATACACATCGATCTCACGATAGGTGGAAAGTAGAAGAAGCCCTCAAAAGAGGTACACTTTTCGAATCTAGTTCACAGCAGTTTCATGAGTGGGGCTCGAGTTATCGGATGACTGTCACTACATACATCTCTAGACGCATTGCGAGTTCGTTACACCATCCGATACAGCGGTCTTGACTCGGTAATTCTCTATTCTTGCGTGTTTTATATGGCTGTAGTCTTATTAGAGCTTTCTTTGGTTGTGAACTTGTTTCCACTTTTTTGCTCAAAACACCGCTTTGTTAGGGAAAAACACCGCTTATTCACAAGAAAAACAGGGGTGAGTCAAATACTTCTTAGTATATGTGAAAGAAAGACAATACAAGAATGAGTATCTTTCAGTGGGAGTGGTCAATTCGGTTATTAACCGTCGAACGGAATAAATTATAACTGTAATTGAATCGAATCCGACATAAAAAAATGAATTTTTATAATTTTCTAAACTTAAAAAAAACGAATTTGAACCGAATCGAATAAAAAAACTGAAAAAACCAAATTTTTTTTTGAAAAACGATTATTTTTACCAATAACAATTTAGTGCAAAGCTAACTAAATCTAAATAAATCAAACCGAATTTGATATAAAAATTGAATAGTGATAGTTATCTATAATTGAAATAACCGAATTCGAATACAATCTAATTGAATTTGAACCAAAATTCGAGATGGTCACTCTGAATCTTTAGAAACTCATTTTATTTTCAGAATTAAAAAAATAAACTCTGAAATATGCATGAGGATAATGCAAATTTTCATAACAAAAGGAATAAATATGAACCCAAATTGAGAAAAGAATCTAGACAGATGACTGTAATGCAGTTATTATGTGTTTCTTCTTAGGGTTGTGGGTAATCCAACCCATTTTGTTGGAACCATTTGGATTATATAAATTAATGGGTTAGGTCAACCCAACCTATTATTAACATGATAAAAACTAAATGGATTGGTTAAAACCCATTAACCCAAATGAGCTAATGTGTAGAGTTAGCAATAATGTTTAGCTGACTAATGTTAATATTAGGGGTGGGAATAATGATGAATAAGAACAGTTCGGTTCGGTTCGATTATTTGCTTAATAACCAAACGGTTGAGGAAGTTGAATAACCGTTCGGGTTCAGTTCGGTTCGGTTAATAACCGAATAACCGCGGTTAACCGAACGGTTATTAGGATTTTTATAATATTTTATTTTTTACCTTATTATTATTAGTGTTATTTTTTTGTAGTTCATTTGTACCTTATGTGTTTCACCTAATAAACCATAAAATTTAATATTTTTAATTTTTAACCTAATTATTGAAGTTTTTGTAGATTTTTTTGTAATTTTTTTGGAGGATTAATTATTTTATGGATTTATTTGGATAGATATTTTGAAGTTTGGATAGGATTAATATATTTTTTAAAATATATCATAACCAAACCGAGCCGATCTAAAACCGAACCAAATAAACCGAAAAATTTAACCGTTTTGTTATAATTTTATTATGCAAAAACCGAACCGAACCGAAACCAAACCGAATAAATCTATATAATCGTTTGGGTATGTTTTTTTATAATCAAAATAACCGAACCCGAAATAATCGAACCGAAACTCGAAATGACCACCCCTAGTTAATATGTAGACTTAGCAATAACGTTAATGAGCCGAATGGCACTGAGGAGGAAAGAAAAAAGCCGAATCGCACTAAAGTAAAAAAAAACAAAATGAGTTTTTAGGTTTGAAATTATTTGGGTTTATTTGGATATACCCATTTAATACATAAACCAAATGGGTTCAATCCATTCAACCCATTTAAATAAACTAATCCAATTGGTTAACTCATTTGGTTAACCCATTTAACCCAACCCATTTGACATCCTTATTTCTTCTAGTGTATTTGGCTTAAGCTACCGATAGAGACAACTAGCTAAATGCCCCATAAAATCAATTTGAATTGCCAAAAAGTTAATAATTTTCTGATTAGTTGAACATTTTTATAATTGACAAAATTCGATGATATTTTTGGTATAGTATCTATAAACATTGTTTGTGTTTTATTCTTATCCTCCGCTGTAACATCAATTTTTATTTTATTTTTAAAGCTAATGTTGATATAAGACAACTGATGAAAGGAAATTTTCTCTGCCACGTTCGCGTATGATTCAGAACCCTCTAATACAATTAGAGGTTAAAGTCTGCGTGTCGATTTCCATATGTGTTCTCTCGTGTGTTTGTTCGAACCCTGTATCTGCAGAGGTGGGTCGATCAAGTAATGTGAGGCGTTTTAATATCGACAGAGCTAATATTGCACAAACGAAAGAAGAGGGGACGAAGTAAAAGAAGTAAAGAAAAATGGGGTCAATTTGAAAATAAAAAACACAGAAAATGGCTAATAATGGAATTGGAACCAGAAATCAGAAGCGCCAACCATTTGGCCCCTTCAAATCGCAAACCAAAGAATTTGAGTTTCAGAAAAAAGGAACAAAAAAAAACATAACAAAAACAGCAAAGCCTTCTTCCAAAAACAAAACAAAAAAGCACCAAGAGTTCCTTTTTGTTTCCCTACCGATTTGTCGAAGGACAAAACAAAAGGAAAAAAAAAACCTTCTGCGACTGGTTCTGTCCCTCCGTTCGATTCTCTGATTCGCTTCCGAAGCGAATCAGAGAATCGCAATTCACTACTTTGTGATTACTTGTTCTTCACGGAATCGGAAACGAATCAGAGAATCGCAATTCACTACTTTGTGATTACTTGTTCTTCACGGAAGCTTGTGAACAACTCGCAGAGTAATTCCGGTTTCCAGATTTCGTACCAGAATGAAGTTCCGACGCCATGGAAATGATTTTGAATGGCGTTTCCCGTGATTTTGCAGAAATGGGTGTCTCTCAAACCGACGGGAGGATGGAAGGATGGCTTTATACCATCCGACAGAACCGATTCGGACTCCAATTCTCCAGAAAACGATACTTTGTTCTTCGTGACAACAACCTCACGAGCTATAAATCCGTTCCCTCTGCCGACAACGAGGTCTGCATCATGTGTCATTCCTCCCTTTTATGTTCACGGTTTCATAACCTGTGTCTTGTTCCTCGTTGTCGTGTTAGATCTGACAATTTTGGTTCGGAGTTTGGTTACCATGATACGATATGATATGATATGTTCTTCGTCTGTTTTTAGTTTCCTTTTATAAAACCCGGAATGACAATACAATTCAGGAAGATTTTCACAAGTCTATACATCGCCATGCTTATGTTTATCGATTTCTCCATAGGAGCCGGACAGAAGAGCATCTCTGGACTCCTGCATTCGGGTTAACGACAATGGAAGAGAGAGCTTCCACAGAAAAGTACGATCGATGATTACATTCTTTCTCCAAATTCACGAAAAAACATTTTACAGAATTCTCCCGTCTTTTTCACGCAGATTCTTTTCATATTTACGCTTTACAACACCTCGAATCACTCCGATCAGCTAAAGGTTTGGATGCTTTATCTTGCAAACCGAGTTCTCGTTTTTTTGTACATCGTTTGCTTGAAGCTTTGAAGTACCGTTATTTGACAGTTAGGGGCAAGTAGTCCAGAAGAAGCGGCGAAATGGATACGGTCATTGCAGGATGCCTCGTTAAAGGTTCCATAGTTTTCAGACGTTTTTCCGAACATTGCTCGATTGAAACAGCATTTTCATTACGTGATTCATCGTTTCGATCGATCTTCTTCTAGGGTTCTCCGTTTCCAGATTGCGATTTCGTGTCTCACTCAGAGAGAGGCCTCGTGAGGTTTGTCTTGTTGTTGTCTGAAAATTTTCTGAAACTATATATAGGTTTCTTATAACTAAAAGAAACTGATGTTTTTTTTTTGCATCAGACTTGATGTGTCGAAGAGGTCACGCCGTAAAAACTCTGTAGATTGGACGAATTACACATCCACGAACACGAATTACTCATCTGTGAACCCCGAAGTAACGGCCCCTGATGTCATCGCACCTTCGCCCTGGAAAATCTTTGGATGCCAAAATGGTAAGAAAAGACAGATTCTTGTGAAATAAACACAAGATCTGGAATGCGTAAAACACTATCTCTCTAACGAGTTTGCGGGTTCAGGTTTACGACTTTTCAAAGAAGCTAAGGACTGGGATTCCCGCGGAAGGGTACGTCGATAAAAGAGATCTTCTTTTCTCCACACATCGGATATGTTTTCTTCTGCTACTGAAGGCTCTTGAATTCTTTCCAGCATTGGGATGATCACGCAGCAATAATGGCGGTCGGAGTCATCGACGGTACCTCAGAGGAAATATTCAATACCTTAATGTCTCTCGGCCCCTTGAGATCGGAGTAAGCCTAACAGCTCGAGTAATCTCGATATGTACTAATGATTTTACGCTTGAAAAACGTTATATAACCACAGACCTTAATCAGACAGCAAGTTCATAAGCTGTTTCGTCTGAAACGTGTCCACGACGAGAAAAGACTGAGAGTTCTTCCTGGGTTTTTTTTTTTTGCAGATGGGACTTCTGTTTCTACAGAGGCAGCGTGGTGGAACATCTCGACGGTCACACGGATATAATCTATCAACAATTATACAGTGATTGGCTTCCCTGGTTAGATTCTTGAGACCCGGGTTTTGATTTCAGCGTTTTCCGTCTTTCTTCCTCATTGAAACTGCTTCTTTTAGGGGTATGAAACCGAGAGATTTGCTGCTGAGACGATATTGGAGACGAGAAGACGATGGAACATATGGTAAGAATACTCTGATGCAAATTTGCAGGTTCTTAGATTTGAATTTAGGGTTTTAACCTTCATCTCGCACTCTACATTCAACAGTTATACTTTGCCACTCGGTATATCACAAGAAATGCCCTCCGGGAAAAGGATATGTCCGGGCTTGCGTCAAAAGTAACGTTTTCTTCGAAAATTAACGCTCTTAGTCCTATGATTATCGAAAAATCTTGCTAGATTTTATCGATGTTTCTAACGAGTAAGCTTATGTTTGATGACGACGATGAAAAATAAAAAGGCGGCGGGTACGTGGTTACTCCGATGAACAACGGGACACAATCTATGGTGAAGCATATGATTGCAATAGATTGGAGATCGTGGAATTTGTACATGAGACCATCTTCAGCAAGATCCATAACCATCCGTATGGTTGAGAGAGTTGCAGGTATTCCTTTATGATCAAGAATCAAGATTTTCGAGAAACGAAAAACCGATATTTTTTTTCTGTTTGCGTGATTTGTAGCTCTAAGGGAGATGTTCCGGGCAAAGCATGGACAATTCTTCTCCAATTTGTCATCCGGGGACTTCATGACGACAAAAACCTTGTCCAAGAACAAGACGAGAGCCGTTTCGTTCGAGGGCAACAAACTCGACGAGGTTGTGAAGTCCGAGGTTACCATAATGGCGGGAGAAGAAGCCGAGAAAACCTCGTCGCCCCGTCCGAGTTTTATGGAACTGAATGATATGTCTGATGAGTTCTTCGATGTCCTGGAACCACACGAATCATCAGGGTTCGATAGTTTCATCCGTGACACCAGTCCACAAGGACCTCAGGTATTTCGTCATTCACGCTAATCGTTTCCCGAAATCCTCCTCTCGGAATTGATCTAACGACGTGAAAATGTTATCTTTTCAGCTCAAGTTACCATCAGCAGCTGGTCTGGTCAAGAAACTGCAGGATTTAGCAGGTGGTGATCTTAAATCAATCTTCATTCATATTAGGGTTTAATTACAATCTTGATTTCAAGCTTGTTTCGATTCAGAATTCTACGTTCTTTCCCGCCTTTTCTTTGTGAAACAGTTCAAAAGAAAGGCTACGTGGACTTGCAAGAAGTGGCTATGGAGGAAAACGTGACGTATTTATACGGCGCGACGCTTCAGAAAGACCCGAGTTTCTCCGCGCCTTGCAGCTGGGCGACTGCCGATCCATCGACGTTTCTGATACGTGGAAGCAACTACCTGAAAGACCATCAAAAGGTAATTTAACAAAACCGATGTATCGATCTTGATTCGACCCGATAAATCCATGGTACAAAGTTCTTGGTTAGTTTCTACGTCCGATATTACGGCCAAAGAAAATCATACATGTGAACCTTGCTAACGCTTTTTTCCGGACCTATGATCTTATTACCGACAGGAGAAGGCGAAAGGAACGATGATGCAAATGATGGGAGCGGATTGGATTAGTTCGGATAAGCGAGAAGACGATCTCGGTGGACGTTTAGGGGGTATAGTTCAGGTATGATCTCCAATCCATCCTCGAATTTCATCGATTCAAGCCAATGTACGGACCAAGATTACCGTTAGAAGCGTTCAAATTTCTTTGGGAACACAGGACTTTGCAGCGGAAGGCAGGCCCGAGTTTTTCTTCATCGTGAACATTCAGGTAAAAAAAGGCTACAAACTTTCTCAAGATTCGACGCGATTTGATTCTCTTAACGTATACGAGAAGCTTAGGAAACAAAAAACGATCATGAAACAGGTCCCGGGTTCGGCAATGTACACTCTAGCAATGTACTATATGCTGAACACACCTCTGGAAGAGAATCCGTTGTTACACGGCTTCGTCAATGGCGACGATGCTTATCGAAACTCGAGGTTTAAGCTCATACCTCATATCTCCAAGGTCAGAAACCGATCTGATCCTCGATGTTTCAACGAACCGGGTATTGCGTAAGATCGAAAATCCAACAAACCCGACTTGTTCGTTTCCGTTTTTGTCGGTCAGGGGTCATGGATCGTGAAGCAGAGTGTCGGGAAGAAGGCGTGCTTGCTCGGCCAGGCGCTGGAAACTCGTTACGTCCGCGGCAAGAACTACTTGGAGGTATTATAAATGGAATCTAACGTCGCGATAATCTTTTTTTTCGGACTTCTGTCCAAAATCTTTTTTGGCATTAGAGATCTTGCAAACTTTGTTTCGTGATTCACAGCTTGACATCGATGTCGGGTCTTCGACTGTTGCAAGAGGAGTAACCAATCTTGTTCTTGGGTATCTCAACAACTTGGTCATAGAAATGGCGTTTTTGATTCAGGTGCCTTGAATTACCATTCCGTTTATCAAACTTTCAGGATCCCTGCGGTCCAAAGAAAACGACATTTTTGTTTAATTTTTTTTTTATTTTCCATTTTCATTTTTTCCCGTGTGTCGGCAGGCTAACACGGAGGAGGAGTTGCCTGAAGTTCTTCTTGGGACGTGTCGGCTCAATTATTTGGACGTATCCAAATCGGTCCGAGAAAGATAAAATGGGCATAAAATATCATTCATTAATCTATTAATACAAATCAGACGAGAAATCAACCTCGAGACAAAGAAACGAACTCTTTTGGAGCGATGTATTTTTGGTATATAATATAAGTATATACTTATTGCTTTTGTTTTTTTATAAAGAACTTATTGCTTATTGCTTTTGTTCCATATACTACTTCGTGTCTTTTCCAAACCTCCTTTTTGTTTTTTGTTTTTTTTAATGATGAAGTTACACAGAAAAATGGTCATAAATTTCATTAGTATGATCGAACAAAAAAAAAAAAACCAACCCGCCAATAAGGAAAAGTGTGATGTTTGCCTTAAAAGAGTGAATTTTGAGCGATATGATGTTGGCTCATTCTTCGAACCTAAAAAACGATGAACGTCGTCGGTTAGGGTTAGGGTTAGGGTGTCAAACGAGGCGTTTCGATTCGGTTCGTGACGAGCTTGGCTCATTTTGAGCTCAACTCGCCAAGCTCGTTTCAAACGAGTTAGAAAGATTTTTGGATCATCTCGACTCACCAATTTTCTGAACTAAACGAGTCAATTCACAAACCAAAAATAAATATGATGTTTTTATTTATATTATAAATATACTAAACAAAATGATATTTTAATATAAAATTTAAATATTAAAATATTAAATTTGAGTAGATTAAAGAAGTTATATATATAATCAATAAAAAAATTAAATTAAATAATAATTTTCTATAAAATATATAAAAATATAAATAAATATATATTAAAAAAAAACAGTTCATCTCATGGAGTGGCTCGTCGAGCTAATTCGTTTGGCTCGCGACCTGTAGCGAGCTAGTTTGTGTTAGGTTCGTTTCCAAACGAGTTTGAAAAATGTTAGTCCGGATGGTTGGCAATGAGCCAACTCGCGAGTTCAGCTCTTTGATCATCCTATTTATGGTGTGTGATTTTCTACAGATGATTTAGATGTAACCAGAATTGTACGTCATACCAAAAATTATTGTCCATGAAATGCTCTTATTGGTTTCAATCCGAACCCTATGAACCAAGCTTGAATTGAGACAATTTCATTCCGGAACTCCGTTAATATAATCTCCTTGTACAGCTCGGGTTTCAGATTGGGCTAAAACCCTGTGGGATCTTCAACTCTGGCCCACGGTGATAAACCCCGCGGGCTATATAATCCGGCTTTTTTTTTATTACCATTTGCGAAATTAATTTAAATGATTCATTGATAGAAAGCACATAGACATGAACACCAATCAAGGCATCAATCAAGGCATATATATATATATATATATATATATATAAATATATATATATATAAATGTATGTGTGAATTATGTCACAGTATATATACTAGGTTTTGCACCTACATAATGATAATAATAACAACGATAATAATATTCTTATTTTGGAATGATTTTATGGAAATTTTGGGCCCTAGCTACAATGTGATTAATTTATGCATGTGGATGAAATAGAGAGACTACCGACGGTGAGGGGATGCGTTTACCGGTCACCGGTTCTTCCGGTAACTCTGTCGGCACCGACACCTCCCAATATCTACCCATTTTTTTTTCATATTTGTTTTCTTTTTTCCCTTTCCATGGGACTTGTCACTATTTTTCTTTTTCTTTTCCCGGAGATAAAATCATAAAAGTGTTTTTATAAAATGTACGTATAAATTGTTGCGATTGAGGATTTTCCGGCTAATGAGAACAAGAGGACCGACCCATCGGCATGAGATTCTCGTGTGTGTGTTTTTTGTTTCCTTTGTTTCCATTCTTATACCAAGCAGAGTGTAGACAACATAAGACAATGCCTCAATCTTTGGGCGAAGAAGAGAGATTTGCGGTTTCATTGTAGTTTTTTTTTTTTAAATTAACTTATTATTTGTATTATTACTTCATAGCTCCAACATTTTGGAAATGAGAATCTTTGTACAAAATCCCAAAACAATGCCTATTTCTTTCCTATTCGTCGATAGAGACTGGTCTAGCATTAATACTTACTTGATATAACGTTTGTCAATTTCTCTACACGTTTAAATTTTGTATTCTACAAATGCAGCATATGCATATCAAATAATATCGAATTGAATATCTGAAATTACCGCAACGTTTTATCGAATTGCATTCGTTTCTTTTAGGATCTCAACCCGTCAAAATCAAACTCAACTCCTTTTTGAATCGGTTTCTTTTTAACTGTATTGGTATAGTTAATCTAAATTAACAACCCCATTTCTTTTATCTATGGGTTTTGTCTATCTTTTTCGATAGTACCATATAATTCGAATTTTTATAAAATAAGAGATCAATTTTTAGTAATAAAATTTACATTTTCATCAACAACAACAAAAAAATACCATGGATCTCACAAGGACCTACATTGATCTGAATGGGGTTATTGCCCCCATTCATTTGATTAAAAAGTTTTAATTGCTTCATAAAATTTGTAAAATTTTAAATAAAAAAGGTAAATGAACCCATATTAAAATTAAATTTGTCAATTTGCCCCCAATTATAATTTTTCCTCGGTCCGCTAGTGCCCACAAGCATAACTATATACCTTCTAGTTAATCTTTATAGGAGTACATATTTCTAGTTTTATCATTTTCGATCTTCAAATTTGTAATTGGCATTATTTACGCATATGATCTAAAAGGATTCCGAACAAAGTTCTAGCCTATTATAGCTTCGATACTATTTTCCATTACGTTTTAAATTTCAAGAACAATATATATTTTTTTCTAATTTGCTCACTAATTATTTTAAACTTAGATTTTCTTTCCATATTACAATTTTGGACTAATATTTGAAAGTTAAAATGGCAACCGAAATGATACCTAAACTCATAAATTATCCAAAAACATCATTTAGAGAGAGTTATGAGCATATGCCTTATTTAATGAGTTGAAATGAACTCTACGGCTGAGCCTCACTATGAATTCGAAGGCCGACAAGATAAAGGCCATATGTCATTATCATGAGCATCCCTACATTTTACCATCTGATGTTCAAGAAATCAATGAACTTTGGCTTACACAATTCAATATATGGAGACCGACATGCAATATTCAGAAGATTTACTGAATCATATATATATATATATATATGCACATATATATGATTTTGTTTGTAATGGGAATTTCATATATTTAATTAATAGTTTTTTTTAATGTTACGTTCACTTGCTTTAAATTTGGTAAGTTCAGCTTATCATGCAAGGATTATACGCATTTATTGAGCTATTTACCGTCTAAGGAAATTGGTGACAACCATAATCGAGTTTATGTTAAAAGGATGACGAGTTAGAATTTAGAATATACAGTTTAGGGTTGAGAGTGCAAGTACATGGTATGAATTTCTTATGTATAACTATTTTACAGATTCGTAAAACGGATAAAATCGAGTTTAGATAATATAAAAAAAAACAAAAACAAAAGAATCTACCAACACAACTAGATAAAATTATTGCACTCCAAAAAGTTTGCATGTGATGGAAATAAAATAACGTGTGACAAAAAAATAAAAATAAAAAAAAGGAACAAGTAGTGTGTGTGATGAGCGGATGATACCATAGTAGGGGAGAGATTCGTACTTTTCTCGCACCTGAGTTACCAAATCCTGGGACCCACAAAAGTCACATGATCTTACGTGGATATTGTTCGCCACGTGTCAAATTATTATTCGTTTCTGTTAAAACTGTTCAATTGTCCAAGCAGAAGAACCGATCCCGAGGCAAAGCCACGTGATTGCTTCATGATAATACTCTTCTCTTCTTTATTTAAAAAATTAAATAAATAAAATAACTTTAGTATTTTATTTTATACCCTTATACGCGTGGGCCCTACATTACACGCTGTTAGGATCTTCCCACGTACCATCAGACAATTAAATGAAAATAAAAAACGGGTGACAACAAAATTAAAATAATAAAATTAACAATGTGGGTCCCATGAAAAACATGGGCTCTTACTTGCTCACAAGTCGCTCCCCCCGCGCCTGTGCGCACATGCCGCCATCACTGCCGAGTCGTGCCGACTATATACGGTCTCATATACGGTCAAGCGTACGTAAAGTTGATAGATACATACATAGACCGTATTATACTATTATGTATGTATGTATGTATACAGTCAGTTTTTCCAGCCTGTAAAAGTCAAATTGGGTGATATATGTATTTCTGCCTAACAAAAAAAAGTCAAATTTAAATAATTTTATTTTAGTTTCCCCTTTTTCTGATTTATTTTAAAAAATTTATTCATCTACTTTTAAGATGATTGCTTATTTTCCTATTACCTGTTTAAATTTATTTCGGATTCAGTTTTCATTAATAATTAACTGAAAAAATCGTTTAATATTTTTAAATATTTATATATTCGATTTGATTTTAGTTATTTTAATTCTAAAAAATATGTGTGATTATTTTTAGATGAAATTCAGTTTAAAATAATTATATACAATTTACTTTTTTCCGATCCAATTTTCCGACACAGTAAATGAGCAAAAATGTCAACTCCAAATCTAAATAGAGAAACGTATTGCTCTATACAAAATATAGAAATCTAGGGTTCTAAACACCTAAAAAAACCAATTCTTTGGATGATTTTAATAGATTTTTCAATTTCTTTCAAAGATTTTGAGAAATCAATACAATTATTTATAATTTTATAGTATAACTTTGGAGAGTCTTCAAAATTATTTCCTTAGTTATTATCAGAAGAATTAATTCACTCTTAAAAAAGTTAAAAACACTATTTTAATATTTACTTATTTTGGTATAAATGTTGTCTTAAAGTTTTTATTAGTGATTAAGAAAAAAAATGAAATTTCTAAAATTCCCTAATATAATATATATTTTTGTAGTCATAAAAAATATATAGAATTTATCTCAAAATTTTAAGTGTGAAATGATATATTTTTTTAACGAAAATAAAGTTTAAGATATTATTTAAAATAAAGGATAAGTAATAAAACTAGAATATAATTCATATTAGCATTGACGCATATTGGATGATTTTTTTTTTTTGGGTATCTTGATTGTAGTATTTCGATCTTGTCTATATAACGGTTACTAGGTATCCGACCCTTATGTATTTGCAATAGGGATGCCAATTCGTGTATTAACCAATATTATTCAAATGGATATAATTGTTTAAACTGAAAAATCTGAATCTGAATTAAACTCGAACATAATAGAAAAATAATAAAAAAAACTGAACAATATATTTGAAATTTGAGTAGTTTTATCTATAAAAAACAGAGGCAAGCGAATTTGAATGAATATTGTATCGAACTAAACATGATATAAAAGTTGATGGTTATAGTTTTTTTTATAAGACGCGTGGTGAAGCTAGGGTTTAGGTATTCGGGCATCACATGCATAACGATGAGGGGACTTGCTTCATCGAGCGGTGGAGAAGGCTGACAAAACGAGCGACTAGGAGGTCAAGATCGATGAGAGGGAGTGAGAGTCTATGCGAGAAGGGTGACACATGCACGTACCTAGGGTAAGGCAAGGCTCAATGCAACGTGCCAAACAGAAGTGGCTCGAAGAGTGGATGCACGACGAACTGCAAGGAGAAAAGGCGAAATTGTGAAATCACTTATCTCATTTTGAAACCCTAAATCGACTATAATGATTTTTTAAGAGGAATATTGTCGCCTACGTACTCTCTTATGCCTCTCATGAACCCACCGATTCGAATTCTCGCCGGTGAAAGACTCGATCTAGCATCCCGTCGAGGTTCGGAATTTTTTTAATTTCAAATATGTGTAGAAAGGATACCCGCAATCCATCAAATTCGGATATCCTCATTGTGTCCTAACTTAGATAACCAATAGAAATTATCTTAATTAACACAAAAATAGATGTATTACACAATTCAGAGCATGTATAAAGGCTAGGCAAATACTTCGTAAACGAACACATGCATGTACGGGAGACTTCTCTCTTTTGTTTTTATTTATTTTGAGCACTTTGAGAAACATCCATTGTGGTCTTTAAATATATAAATTTAAAATACCTTATCTCATGTTCACAAGAAATAAAATCTCTAATTAAAAATGAATATTAGAACGGTCACCTTTTTAAAAAAAATCAAATTATTATTTTTTTAATCGGTGCACCCCCGTTGTCGGTCCACGAGATCACATTTGATCATTCTTTTAATTAATACATTATCACATCGACCCTCACATGCCATTGCACGGAAACATTATAAATCTACAATTAATTTTTCAATACTCAATAATTGAGATAATCAAAACAAAATTAAAAAGATAGTAATTGCCGAAACAAGATGTGTTGGGTTCTGGCATACTATGTCGTTTCGTCCGAAGACAGTGTTATCATGAGGAAATAGGGTTTGTCAACTGACATGAGACGATTTTTATTTATTTATTTATTATTATTATCACAAAAAATAAAATAAAAATTTAAATTTTGATAAATAAATATATGAACTTTTGATTTTGTATAAAAATACACATATCTTGAATTTTTTTGCATAAACCCACATAAAAACAAAACAACGTTAGTTTTTGTTTGGGTCTATACGAAAAATTTCAAAGTTTAATTAACAAAATAAATCATGGTCTATTTGAGCAATTTTTTTTAGTCATGTTTACCAAATTTAATATGTAATAGTACACTAAATAAGAAGAGACCGGTTACATTTGAGTCTGATAGTCAGAGGCATACAAATATCACTGAGCGAGATGTATTTCATTTCTAAATATTCATATTTATATTTACGTACATTGTATACATACATTGTATGTATGTATGTATGTATGTATGTATGTATGTATGTATGTATGTATGCATGCATGCATGTATGTATGTATGTATGTATGTATGTATGTATGTATGTATGTATGTATGTATGTATGTATTGCTAGTGTCTTGAGAAGAAGTATTTTAGAAGAAAGTGATCGTATATGGAGTGCAATCCAAGTTAGTTAGTTCAAACAAAACAATAAGGAAAAAAGGGAAAAAAAGAAAGTAAAAAGCAGATAGAGCCTTAGAAAATCAGTGATATATATATATATATATATATATATATATATATGAATATATTTTAATTATTCTTTGTTGGGGTTTGGAGTGAGTGAGTGTTTTTGAAGGATGCTAAGAGTATGGTTCAAGTTACTTTTTTTTTTTACAAAATTTAAAAAAAAAAACGGGGACTAATTAAGGGCAGAATCTATTTTGTGCCGAAGACTTAGGTAATGAAGTTGGACGGATGTGATCGCGATGCCTCAACCCTTCGTTTTTACATTCTCTTTGATCCTCAAATAAATAAACTGAAAAAAATCCACTAAGAACCAATTAATTGGTTTGCTTCCTTTTATGCGTAAAAATGACTATATTGTGATGTTTTTTTTAAACTAAATTATGCGAAAAAAAATTTCGGCAATTGAAAATAAATGAGGTCCACCTTTATTTCTTTTGGATTCAAAATTAATCCCTTTTTTTTTAATTAATTTCTTTCTGTTCTCTTAAAGCTGAAAAAGTTTCTCGCATTTGAAATTGCTTAGGGCGATGAAAGAAATAGCTAATAACCCGGTCAATATATTTACATTTTTTTTTACTTTGCTTAACATGTTTTTGTTAATTATTTACGTGACTATATATACTACTATTAGCAATTTCATTTCATTTGGACATGAAATTGATCGATGGATTCCGAATATCGTCGATAATTCATAATAATTACAAAGCGGCGGATGTAGACCGAAGGAGGGGGGGGGGGGGAGAGAGAGAGAGAGAGAGAGAGTAAATATCAATCAAATTAACCCCGTATATATATAAAAACATAAATTTTGAAAACCAAAAATAACACGATTTTAATCATATAATAAGCATAGACACGAATCTTACGGAGTAAAATGCAGATAAAACTTTAAAGCATAAGTATATATACTATCAATAGCTAGTCTTTTTGGATTATACATAGGCATAGGCATAATAAGAAAACAAAAAAAAATGTATGTTAGGTAATTTTAATTAATGCGAATCTGAATTTTTTTTTAACATAACGTAACACTCGTCACATCGATATTTGTCCAAATGATACTACTTTTTAAAGTAATATCAATTATATAGGAATTATTTTTATTCCTCGGAATCTTTGCTATTATTACTAATTTACCCAACTATTGAATCTTTTGAACCTCGTAAATTCATCATCATCAACATGTTATTATTATTATTATTTTATTTAGAACGATTAAATCTTCTATTAATACAATGGAATGAAATCAAATATAAGGCACATTCAAATTCTTTCTATATAAAAAATGAAAAAAAAATATAAAAATATCGATTGCAAATGGTTCCAAGGAAAGTAGATGAATTTGTGAATTTGGTAAAACCGGAGCAAAAACGGTGGGAAAATAGCTAACCCAAACATTTTTTTTTTAAAATAAAGGATAAAAAGGAAATTAAAACACATGTACGCGCTTCGTGCCATTTCACCTTCCCATTATCTCTCTGACTTTGTAAAACCATATAAAGAAGTCACAACTATTATCTCCCAATTATATATAAATCATTATTTTTCTCGATTTAGATTTTATACTTCATACATCCCTTTCTATAAGTATTTTTTTGTACTAGTAAAAAATAATCATTTCCACAAAAAAGAAGAAGGAAAAAAATCCAAATTCATAACTAGACATTAACTAGGGAAAACAATAATGATATTAGCTAATTATTAACATATGAATGAATATATATATATATATATATATATATTAGATTACAAAAGTTGAATATAAAAACAATGATGGAGGTGGTGTTTCCTTAATCATAGGTGGTGCAAACTTTTGCTAACCTTTGAACACATACAACTTTTGTACAGCCAAGCAAACTGTGTAGGATAATCCAATGTCTTCTTTGCCCCGTGTGGGGCCCATGTGGGTTGAGATTTTTTTTTCTCCTTTTTATTTTTATTTTTTGCCTTTAATTATGAAAATCAAAATGATGAGAGAGAGACCTCACATGAGGACAGGGTAAGGAATGGTAAAATACAGCTTGCAAGGGAGAAAGAAGAAGATGCAAATGCAAGAGACTCTCTCACCTACTCTTTATATAATAAATAAAAACCCAACCATTGTGCCCCCAATCAATCACTCATCACTTCCCCCACTAACTCTTCTTCTTCTTCTTCTTCTTCTCTCAATTTCAATCTCAAATTCCCAGGAAACAAATCTGATTCTCTCTCTCTTTCTAGCTCCAGATTCTCCGAGGAACAAGGTTATTTGCTGTCTTTATTACACTCTTGTTCGTGCTGTAGGGATTAGGGATCGTTTCCCCCTGTTGATTTTCAGTGAAAATGGCCATTTCTGGTGGAAATTCTTTGTTGGGTTTTCGTTTTCAGATGTTTCTGTTCGTGGGTTTTGGTTTTCTTGAAGAGAATTGAATTCCTGAATATCTTTTTTCCTTGTAGGTTCCCCTCGTGAATTTTTTCTTGATTCCGCGCTTTTTTTCTCCGTATTTGTTTTGAAAATTATTCGAATTTCGAGCGTGTCGGCAAGACATTTTTCCCCACTGGAGTTGTATCATATTCGACTTGGGGTTCGGAAACCTTGTTTGGTTCCCGAGAAAATGATAGAAAATGGGTATGAAAAGAACAGGCGCATTTTCGTTGGGTTTTCTTAGCATAATAGCCAAACGTGTTGCCTTCGGATTCCCGGATTTAATGAATTTTCCTAATTTTCCTGGATTTTTTTATGTCTCTGTAATGTGCCATTTAATTTGAGGATTTTATAAAGAAAGAGATCTCACTAATTCATTTTGATTTCCACATTCTCTTGCAGGAATATTCAGATTCAAACACTTAGGCCTGATCTGAAATCTCCCCTGTGGAAGTTTCTCCGACAAGTCGTACAAGGTTTGCTTCTCTCATGACCTTTCTCAGTTTCTTCCATGATCCTTTTCTTGGTTGAATTGTCTCTTCCCATCGTACAAAACAAATCAGGAAGAAGACGATTCTGTCTCTTTAAGCAAATGGGTTTTGCTTAGATCCATTAGTTTTGAGACATGCTTATCTTTGTCTGATTCTGATAATCATTGTCTTGATCTGCTGTTCTATGCAATTGTTAGGATTATAAACCCAAAACAAAAAAAAAAAAGAATTGTCAAATGGTGGGCCAACAAAAAACTTTGGGTCAAATTTCGTTTTCGTTTTCATTTTGAAACTTGCAGATGGCTCCAAAATTCAGTTCAAATTTTCAAAATTTGAAACTTTAATGTCACCGCAATGAATTTTCTTTTTCGTATATGAACTCTGTCATCGTTTTGCTCTGTTTTCTCCTCATATCTTCTCCTCTCAGTCCTGTGTCCATTTTTTTTTTCCTGCAGAGAAGAGAGATGATTGGACAAAGCTTTGGGGATGAGATGGATTGCGGTAACTTCTTCGACAACATGGATGATCTGATCAACTTCCCGAACGAAGACATCGGCCTCGGGTTTGGCATTGGCGATAACGATGAGTTCCCGAGCATCTGGTCGGCTCAGCCTGAGTCATGGCCCGGTTCTGACCTGATGTTCTCTTCCAAGAACAACTCGGAAACCTCCACTGAGCTCTACGTTCCGGTGAGCAAGTCATGACATGAAATTATCCGTCTAACGTTTGCCTCTTGATGGGTTTTTGTTTTCTGATTTCGTGTTTTTTCATACTGCAGTTTGAGAACATTGTTCAGCTGGAGCAGCCTTCGGGCCTCGTGGACGAGTCCTTCACTAACAAGAAGGGAGATTCCTCGTCAATGAACACCGATTCTTCGTCATCTCACAGCCAATTCCGTAGCTCGAGCCCCGTGTCAGTGCTCGAGAGCAGCAGCTCCTCGTCCCAAACCACAACCTCTGCTGAACCGC